TTAACTCTTCATAGCAAACTCTTCATAAATTGGATGGCTACAAGCTCTTCAGAAGGGACAGATGAGGAAGGAAAGGTGGTGGTGTAGCCCTTTATATTAAAGATGTTTTGATGTTGAAGAGCTTGGGATTGGAAATGATAAAGTTGAGTGTCTGTGGGTAAGGATCAGGGGGAAGGCCTGTAGGGGTGACATCTTGGTGGGGGTCTGTTATAGACCACCTAATCAGGATGAAGAGATGGATGAGGCGTTCTATGAGCAGCTTGCAGAAGTCACGCAATCTCCAGCACTTGTTCTCATGAGAGATTTCAATTTCCCTGATATATGTCGAAAATATAATACAGCACTGAGGATGCAGTCCAAGAGGTTTCTAGAGTGTGTGGATGCCCTGCTTGACCTGCTCTTCACTAACAGAGAAGGACTAGTGGGAGATGTGAAGGCTGAGGACTGTCTTGGGCAGAGCAACTGTGAAATTGTAGAATTCTCTATTCTATGGTGATGTCAGAAGGGTGACTAGCAAAACTGCTATCTTGAATTTCAAGAGGGTGAACTTTGACCTGTTCAGGATGCTTGTAGCACGGGCCCCTTGGGAGTCGCTCCTTAAGGATAAAGGAATCCAGGAAGCCTGGATGCTCCTCAAGATGAAAATTGTAAAGGCGCAAGAACTTGAAGGCAAGTCATAGGGGAAGAAGACCAGTGTGGATGAACCGGGAACTACTGTTGAGAGCATGGAAGAAAAAGAGAGTCTATGTCCTCTGGAAGAAGGGACAGGCTACCTGGGGAGATTACAAGGAAGTTGCCAAGGTACACAGGGAGGAAGTTAGGAGAGCAAAAGCACAGCTTGAACCCAGATTGGCCACTGCAGTAAAAAAGAATAAGAAATCCTTTTATAAGTATAAGAGAATATGAGCACTGAGGATAAGGAGAAGGCTAAGGTCCTCAATGCCTTCTTTACATCTGCCTTTAATAAGCAGATCAGTTATCCTCAGGGCACTTTACACCCTGATCTGGAAGTCTGAGATGTTACACAAAATACACCCCCAGTGATTCAGGTGGAGACAATTAGAGAGCTTCTCCCCTATCTGGACTGTCACAAGTCTATGGGACCAGACGGCTTCATCCTAAAGTGCTGAGGGAGGTGGCGGGGGTGATTGCTAAGCCGCTGTTGGCCATCTACCAGCGCTGCTGGTTATCTGGAGAAGTCCCAGAGGATTGGAGGCTTGTTGATGTGACTCCCGTCTACAAGAAGGGCCATAAGAAGGATCTGGGGAACTACAGGCCTGTCAGCCTGACATCAGTGCCAGGGAAAGTTATGGAGCAAATCATCTTGGGTGAGATCACATGGCATATGCATGGCATCCAGGGGATCAGGCCCAGCAAGCATGGGTTCATGAAAGGCAGGTCATGCCTGACCAACCTCATCTTCTATGACTGGGTGACCAGCCTGGTAGACAAGGGTAAGGCTGTTGATGTAGTCTACCTAGACTTCAGCAAAGCCTTTGACACGGTTTCTCACAGGATTCTTCTAAAGAAACTGGCCACCTGTGGTCTGGACAGGTATACACTCCTTTGAGTAAGGAACTGGCTACAGGGCCGTGCCCAGCAGGTAGTGGTTAATGGAGTTAAGTCCAGCTGGTAACCTGTTTCAAGTGGTGTCCCCCAGGGGCCGGTACAGGGACCCATCCTGTTTAATATCTTTATTGATGACCTAGATGAGGGGATTGAGTGCACCCTCAGCAAGTTTGCAACCAAGCTGGGAGGTGGTGTCGATCTGCCTGAGGGTAGGGCGGCCCTTCAGAGGGATCTAGGTAAGCTGGATCGCTGGGCCAAGGTGAATGGGATGAGGTTTAACAAGGCCAAGTGTCGGGTCCTGCATTTTGGCCACAACAGCCCCATGCAGCATTAAAGGCTTGGGGATGAGTGGCTGGATGATTGTGAAGAGGAAATGGACCAGGGGGTACTGGTTGATGCTCGGCTGAACATGAGCCAACAGTGTGCCCAGGTGGCCAAGAGGGCCAATGGCATCCTGGCCTGCATTAGAAATAGTGTGCTATCTTCCTCATAATAAACTGCTCCCCAGCAGGAGCAGGGAGGTGATCATCCCCCTGTACTCAGCACTGGTGAGGCTGCGCCTTGAGTACTGTGTTCAGTTTTGGGCCCCTCACTACAAGAAAGACATTGAGGTCCTGGAACGTGTCCAGAGAAGGGCAACGAAACTGGTGAGGGGTCTGGAGCACAAGACTTATGAGGAGTGGCTGAGGGAGCTGGAATTTTTAGTCTGGAGAAGAGGAGGCTCAGGGGAAACCTCATTGCTCTCTACAGCTTCCTGAAGGGAGATTGTGATGAGGAGGGGTTTGGCCTCTTCTCCCAGGCAACAAACAGGACCTGAGGAAATGGCCACAAGTTGTACCAGAGGAGGTTCAGGTTGGACATTAGGAGAAACTTTTTCTCTCAGAGGGTGGTCAGGCACTGGAATGGCTGCCCAGGGAGGTGGTGGAGTCGCCGTCCCTGGCAGCGTTCAAGAGGCGTCTGGATGAGGAGCTATGAGATATGTGCTTGTAGTAGCAATGGTAGTGGGAGGACAGTTGGACTAGATGACCTTGTAGGTTGTTTCCAATCTTGTGATCCTATGATTCTATGTCATCTAGTTATCAAGGCACAACTTCTGTTTTCCTTTGTTCAGTGTGCACATAGGAATGGGCTGGCAGGAGAGAGGATCTGCAACAGGAGAACATAAGAAATACGTACCTATGATGACACCCTGGCTGTTCCTTTCTTAATTTTCCGAGACTGTGGAATAGCTAACTGATAATTATCACACAGTGTTTCTAGTAAGCTGTTCTAGGCTTCAAGAAAAAATAGGGTGTTTTTCATCGGAACCTTATTATGCTGGAAAGGCCGTACTTACTCAAGAAAATATCCTGTTTCTATGTGCATACATCAGTAAGCCCTTATGCGGTCAGCTGAGATCAGTAGAAGTCTTTCTTTATGTCTTAAGTGATTCCAAGAGCAAATCGAAGTTCAGAATATGTATTAAGGTCATTTGTTTTTTAGTTTTGAGGTTGACCCAGAGTAGAAGTAAAAGGTTTGGGGCAACAGACTGATCTCAATGACTTACATTTTTCATCAACTGGTCTCTTAAAGTCAAAAAGATGGTTCATGAATAGTTTGTTATTTTTTCAGTGTCTGTAATAGTCTTAATGCAGAATGGGGGATCCATGCTTAAAAGTGAGTGAAGCTTTTATGTTGCTGTGATTTAAAATGTCCAGATTTCACTCATGAGACTGATGACACTTTTGTGATATTTTTCATGTTTTGAAATGTGAACACTTTTCTGCTTAAAATAATGTAAGTGATAAAATCCTGATAGAGCTATGACTAAAACAGCGTATGTTGACTTTCCACTGGCGTGCAAAACCGTATTATTTACTTTCTATTTTATTTTAGAATTAAAAACAAAAACAACACCAAAAAAAACAAAAAACAAAAACAAAAACTATAGATAATGTAATCTTCTATGAATAGATTCCAAAAATGACAAAATGTTATTCTGATATCTACGAAGTCTGCTCCAAAAGTAATGCTTCTTATTTATTTCCATGGAAACTACAACAGATACAAAGAGCAGAATAGCACTATGTAATAGAGCAAATTTCAAGCTACAAAACATTATTTTTCAACACAGTTGCCATCATCATCTATGCATTTTTGACAGCAATAAACAAGAACCTTCTTTCTGCACTCATAAAAATCTGCACCAGCGGAGATGGCCCACTGTTTCATAGCTGCTGAAATGGCATCATTTTGCCCACGCAGTCCATCTTTTATCAGCCTGAACAGATGGAAATCAGAAGGCAACAGATCTGGAATACAGTGTCTGTGGCAGAACAGTCCAGTCAAGATTGGCAGTGTACTCCATGATCTTCAGACTGGTCTGGGGCCTGGCATTATGATGTTGCAAGAGAAAGATATTCTTCTCCTCTGACGTGACTGTGGAAGTTTGAGACTTCAGCCTAGTGAGCTTTGCACTGTGATGATCAGAGCTGATGGTTTGTCTGAGTTTCAGGAAATCCAGAAGAATCACTTTCCTATCCCAAAAGACAGTGCACATCACTGTGTCTTGAACTTTTTGCTCAGTGAAGAGTTTACATCACCATTCCATGCACTGCTATTTTGACTCCAACTCATAGTGCTGATACCATATCTCATCACTGGCAATGATGTGATTCAGGAAATTGTCACTTCAGACTCATACTGGTTCAATGGGCACTGACAAACTTGCATACAGTGATTTTTCTGTTCCTGTGTGAGCTTTCATGGGACCCACCTGGCACAAACTTTGTGATATTCCAATGTTGCCACAGTTGTTTCCAACAGATTGAAGCTGATATTCAGCTATATATACAGATCCTTGGTTGTAATCCGCTGATTGGTGTGGCTGAGCTGGTTGAGACCTCTTAATTTTGTGCTGTGAAAGCTATGCATGGCCATCCAGAATATGGGTTTTCTTTCACATCACTGTCACCACTGCTGAAACACACCACCCATCATCTCACTGTGCTCACATCCACTGTTTGATCTCCATAAGCATTTAGCAAGCATCAATCACGTCAGCGGGTGCCATTTTTTCCTTGCTGAGGGTTTTAGGTACACACCTTTGCTTCATCTATGCTTCCACATCAGATGCCATTTTGTTAGATTGCTCTTCTTCTGCCATCTGTCACATAGCAACAAAAAATAATGGGACACTGATGGGAAGGTTCAACCTCTACTGATGTACCACCATCTGCCTCTGATGTTGTGGAACATCATAACATAGGGGGCATTAGTTTCAGAGCAGCCCTTGTATTTCTTGGTTTTCAGAATGAAACACACATAAATATTGAAGTTAACTACGTAGGCAGAAATGTAAATCTTCAAATTATGAAATTAGGGGTGTTGGAGTAAGTATGTATTTACAGATTTTTTTGTTACTAAATGAACTCTTTCTTTTTTTCTTCCAGTCTGCTCCCAATATTCTAGAGGAGTTTTTGCCATTTTTGGACTTTATGATAAGAGATCAGTACATACCTTGACCTCATTCTGCAGCGCCTTGCACATCTCCCTCATCACACCAAGTTTCCCCACTGAAGGTGAGAGCCAGTTTGTGCTGCAGCTGCGGCCATCGCTGCGGGGAGCCCTCCTGAGCTTGCTGGATCACTATGAATGGAACCGCTTTGTCTTTCTGTATGACACAGATCGAGGTGAGTTGTAACCACTTTTATTATATTAGTTCAATTGACTTTTGCAGGAACTGTGCATTTTTATATGGCATTGAGAACTTGGGGAGTCAAATTTAAAAGCTCTTCCATTTTAAATACCTTTCTCTGAGCAGCTCTGTCGTTGAATGAAGAATTCCTTCATCTGCAAACACTGGACAGTGCAAGCAAATAGTAATCAACCAGCTGAAACCTGCATTTCAAGTCTAGAATAATAAAACATTTTAATTAATGTTAGTGAAATAAAGACACAGTTCGATAAGCAGAATCGTACAGCTGAGTTCACTCTTCAGATCACTTCATAAGTGACAGCGGTAGAAAGAAGTGGAGAGGGCTGACCACTTCTCTGCTGCACTTGCACCAATGTGAGCTGAGAAGCCTCTCATGCCTTTGGAGATCAGGACAGGATCACAGAGTGCATGATCCTTAAGCTGCAGCAGAGAAATGAAGGGTGATACAGAGAGGACATGGCAGCAGGCTTCCCCATGCGCTACTCCTTTCATCTTCTGTGATCAACCATATTTTATAAGGTTTATAATGCATTACAAAAGGCTACTCTTTTTATTTGCATTCTCCATTCCAAACTGCAGAGCATCTCAGAGCTTTTGAGTGGTAAAAAACTATAAATGCATTACTGCATCTTGTCATTAGTGCCTAATTGAGAAGTAAAATCTCACGTTCTCCATGTTATGCGTTCATCCTGGCAGCAGAGCATTTTGCCTTGGTGTATGGAAGGGGATTTAGCCAACATGGCTGAGCTTCTGGGAAAGAAGCAAGATTTTTATGTTGATGGCTTACTTTCAGGGGAAAAGTGATGCATGGCTGTAGTCAAATAATTGTTTTACTACAGCCATTTCCCTGTAGCTGCCCATGTGGATAGACTATTCTGAAGTGGCTTTATTCCAGAGTCATTATTCTGCAGTAGAAATAGGAAATCATACTGACCTAACTAAATCTGTTTAATTAATTCATTATGACTATAGACGTCAATTTTCTGGTATATACAATCACAAAATTTTAGAGAGTTTTTAGTAAGTTTTTAGCACTGCATAAACACCTGAACTTAATTTTAAAATAAATAAATAAAAAAAAAGAACCTGTATTGTTCCATAATTGCTAATGTTGTTTTTTGCTTTTCTTTTTAAACTAATCTGTTGGTTCTGTTTGTAAGTTTTGTTTTTTTTTTGTTTTTTTTTTTAATGTTTGCTGGTTCAGTGAGGGAAATTTTGGGAAGCTGTTGTGTTAGAGGACAACATGTTGAGTGATGCCCAGTTTGGCACTGTAACTCCAGTCACTTTCACTATATGAACTACCACAATTACTGATTCACAAATAGCACACTGCCCAATTCATCTAGCAGTGTTCCATGAGCTTATTCACAGCCCCATCATAATTTGTCTAGCAGTGCTATATCAGAAACTAACACAGCTAGATCAGTGAAGGAATTTTGGCCATGGCCACTCAGAACTAACATAGCTACCTTAGTGAATGGTGCATTTTATTAGCAACTGGTTACAGGTTCTTGTGGATTGCCAGTGATAATTCACTGTCTGCAAAGCGTGAGTTTAACCAAAAACAATACAAAGCATGTGCAAAGAGCTAACAGTAATTCACCCTGGACAGAAGCCCACTAAACTATAAAACAAACTTTACAGTGATTACTGCACTTCCCAGGGAAACACTCAGTGAACCATACCAATGGGTGTCCCTATGGGCAGGAAGAAAGACTTGGCCTGTCAACTGATCACAGATGTATGCAGGTGTTCTACCAACTTGTCTGACATGGTATGGTATCTTCCCTAATCTTTCCCTCTCTTAAGCCATTTTTGTACTACTTCTTACTCTACAGGTGGAGCTTGAGTGACTCTGGTCATATATACCTTTCTTCTGATTGGTATAAAATTCTCTCATTTCACTTTTAAAGGTACAGGTTAAAAAATCCAAAAATCCCTTAGTGAGGAGTGGTTTCAACTTGATGATGGGTAGCTTTTGAGATGGAGGTGCATTTTGGCATTATAATGAGTGTATAATGACCAAAATTAACCCAAAATATGGCATTTTGTAAAATAGAAGTGACAGACTTTTGTCCTGGGGTAGCAGGTGGTTTTACCAGTGCCTTGGCACCACTAAGTCCCCATCCCAGCATTGTTCTTCTTAGAGTCAGTACATCACATTCTCCTGATGTCACCAACAGCTATGGTTGCCTGGGGAACTACTATCGATTACAGAACTTGGCCACAGAGTCTTCGCTTCCTTCTATGCTATTTAATGGCTTTCCGTTGCTTTTGTACATCTATGAACAATCCATACCTTAATTTTAAGTGAATAGTGTTATACCTTAATTTTCAAGTTGCCTGTAGCAATTATTCCACATCCTAGAACATGCTAGATAACTATAAGAAAAGAGAAAAAATGATGAATTTAAAAGTGTTCTTATTCAAGACATCGTAATGCGGAACAAGTAAACAAACACACAATTACAGATGTGATCCTACAAGTTCAACAAATTATCATGAGAAGAAGAGAAAAACCAGAACTCTACTTTCTTATCTAAATTCACATGCTTAATTAGATTGTGGCATCATTTTTAAGCATGCAGTAACACACCAAGGGCAATTTCAGAACATCATCTATAACACTGTGGTCAATAAACAATTCTTATGGCAATAAACTCAGAAACTCTGAACTCATCAGTGTGTCTGATAAAGAGATTACATTTGCCAGATGTATGCAGAGAGTGGATTTTCTCTCAAAATTTGAATAGGTCTTGTGACTCCATTTAATGCAGAAGAAAGTAAGATGTGATGTACCTTTAAATATTAAGATAACTGTAAAGATATAATAATTTTCACTACCACTCCACAAAGTGGAGCTCAGATATGATATGAAAAAAAAAAGTAAATATCATCTTTTAATCTAGTGTAATCAGGAAAAAAATCATTGCTCCTGAATCACAATAGGGTTTCTGTGAGACCAGAACTTAGTCACGTCCAGATTTTTGCCAAAGAACCTTCATCTCCATTCCAGACATATCCCCGTCTCTCCAAGCAGCTCCATCTAACCAAGCTGCAGGGATGGGAACAAGTGTTATGTCTTCTTTTTTACATTGAGCCTGCAAGTTTCTCTTTGCAGCTTAACCAGAAAGCTATAAATAAATTCTTATGCAGGAAGGTAAATGATAAGCATACGTTCCAGCCAGATGCAGTTGCTTTTTAGGAAGAAGGCAACATTCAGCCGTGTTGTTTCCAGACATGCTTTGCCAGACTTTCCATCCTACTTGCCTCTCTTCTGTTGCATGCAGCTCAGTTCTTAGAGGGCGAACAATTGACTTCAGTGACCAAGGTGGGTTTCTCTGTTGTATCACTCTGTTCGTCTCTGGTCAGACCCTCAGCTCCCTGTAGAACTACAGCCTTTTTGCTACTGAAATGTACTGTCACTGTAGCTCTCCAAGTCACTGTCACACGCTGCACTTGGGTTTATGCCACGAAGTAGTCTTGGCTCTCACAAATTCCAATGAGTTGGTAGCTCTAGCGAGTATGTTAAATCTCCTTTTCTGACATTCTGCCAGACTTGCAGTCTGAAAAATCACTGTCCTGTGACAGAGTGTAGATAGTAAAAAGAACGACATAGCTACAAAATGAATTGTAAATAGCAAGGGATGTTACAGAAAAGGAAAACAGGTTTTGCAAAAGACATCAGGTCTGATGAAGGAATATGCAACTTGTTACTTAGCAGGGAAGGTGAGCAAATAAGAAGTGAGGCTAAAGCCTCGTGGACCCTTTGGTTTCAGTATGTCCTCCTTTCTTCTACCCTCCTCCTATAAGAGGGTTTAATTATTACCCAGAGCTCAATACAATTCACGTTAACTGCAGTAAATATTAACAGCAAAGTTCTGGAAAAGTGTACAGAAATGGGAAAGAGCAGGCTGAAGAACACTTAGCTGTAACTCAGCTGACAAAGCATAACAAAGCATGTCAAGGATGGTGTAAATTGAAAGTCATGCCTCCTTGAGAAGAGAGGTAAATCCTATGGAGGCAAAGTGCTCTGTTGTTCTTTGATATCAGCTCTAAAAGGAGAGGAATGAAGGGGCCAAACAGGCAGACTAATGGAACACTGGGGCTACATATGTTCTTTTCATTGTGGCTGAGAGGCATATCTTTCAAAAAGAGGCATACAATCATAAGGAGATTTGCATCTGAAAATTAGCAGGGAAGTTTTGACTTGGCACAGGTGTTCCTGCAGAGTTTTGCTGGTTGATAATAGTAATTTCTAACACCAGAAAGCAAAAGCCAGAGCCTAAAACCACAAGAAGTCTGGAAGAGTTTGGGTGAAGTGTGAGAATCTGTTTTAGAGTCTTGTGCAGGCTTGTGTTCGTTGCCTGTGCTGTACACAGCCTTCCCGAGAGCTGGAATGTTATCAGTCGCTGGTAGCACTATGGGCATTGCCCAGCTCAGGGAGCTGGGGCAGGAGAACAGAGGGCTGCAGGGCTGCACAGAAAAGTGAGAAGGACAGCAGCCAGTAGGCTGGAAGGGCTTCCCCCAAAGTAAATCAGCCACTCAAATCTAACTCTGTTTCCCAGCAAGAGTTGTCAGCCCCTGACTGTGACTAAAGAGCTATAGCAGGATCTGGAGCTACCAGCTGGCCTAGCAGTTGGCTACGCAGAGACTGTAAAATAGTTATTGTTCTCTTCTAGAAATTAGGCAATGTCTATGAACCTGTTTACGTGCCTTGTTGGATTTTTATTTTTATTTTTTCCTTTCTCCTTTTAATTACACACTTTTCATTAAACCAACTCAGTCATGGTTGCAGGTGAGAAAAATCAGATCAGTGTGCACAATATGAATTTAATTTCCCCAGATTGCTGCACACTGTCTTTATAGCAACTCCTTTAAAGTTGGAGCAATTGCATTTTATGAAAATCTAAGCCTGTCAGTAGGGTTAGACAAGTTCTAATAACATGTTCAAATTCATCCAAAACACTTAGA